CGTATTGACCTCGCTGTCGCTCGGTCAATACGGCAAGACCTCAGTTTGAGATTTTCCCGTAACGACCTCACTCTCGGTTATTAAGTAGTTAGTATTGTGTTCAGACAATAACTTAATGAACTTATTTAAAAGAGTAATATATAAACAGTTTCGATTTTAAACTAGATTTAGATTTTAATAGTGCAAAAATTTTCTAGTAAATAACAGAACAGGGAAAAGGAATGCTTCTGAAAGCATAGTTTTAACAATGACAACGTTTGAAATTATAACTTTAAAATGTTTCGGCTTCTTTGAGGCCACCGATCGTTTGTTTATAACGTGTTGCATTACTTTCATTTTCTTGTTTTTAGTTGTTGTTGTCGTTTTGTCAGTGGGGTGGGGGTGGGGACTTTTTAAGTACCAAAAGTCACATCTTCTCTACTCCCCGCCTCCTCCTCCTCCAACTCCCCCTCCCCCATAGTCCTTATAGCATTCCTACCGAGGGCAATGATTTCAACTGAAGTGATTAGCTATATGCTCTCAACCAATGAGGATATGAACATATAATATGGTGTGCAGTAAAGTCCTCAGATGCATTTGTGGCAAAGTGCCTCTGTTTTATAAAAATCTCTTTTATTTTAATCGTAATGTCTTGACGAGGCAGGGTAACCTTTTGCATTTGCTAAGAGTACGGACTGAAGCAGCGAAAAAGTCTTTTTATTATTCTGGATGCCAAATTTATAACTGTTTTAAAAGTAAGTAAATTTAATTTTCTTATTAAGTATATGAAATTTTAACTTTAATCTTAGTAGTTTTATTTTTAAGCATATTGTAAGGTTTATAAATTTTTATTATTATTATTTTTAGCAGGGGTTATTGATAGCTTTTTTTATCTGTTGATAGCTTCCTTTCATAGAGCTGACAGAGTTACCCTGACAAAATATAGATTTACTTACTTACTATAATAAAGAGTTTACAAACCTGGCATTACTTTACTGTCTAGGGAGGGATAGTAATAAATGTCATTGAGCCAGGAGGCGCGGCGGCTAAGGACGGGAGAGTAGCAGTTGGAGACCAGATCATTTTGGTAAGTTAATTTACCTCTTGTGTATTCATTATGGTATCCAGGAAAAAGACAAAATCATATTTTTGTATATATTCATGCATTCAGCATACAAATTCAGCTTTCAGGCCTCCATACAGTTCTTATTAAAATACCCCAAAGATTCTGATGACTGATTCTGTACCCACATTGTGTGGAGACACCGGGCTGTAGCCAGTATGAGGCAAACCAGTGCACTTGCCTCAGTAAGTTTTCTTCATTTTTGTTGGTTTCCTTTTTGAAGGGGAAAAGTAAAATACTGTTAAATAACTAGGCAGATAATTTAACCATGCATGGGCGTTGCCTCAGTCATAAATTTTTTTTCTGGCTACGGCCCTGAGACGTGATGTTTATTTTAAGAAAATTTCTCCTGTTTGTGTCTTAAGGCAAACGGCGAGAGCCTACGACAAATGAATCATAAGAACGCGGTTTCCGCTCTGAGGCTAGCGTCATCTCCTGTGAAGCTAACTATTTTACGAGAAGAGCCTGAACAGATTTTCACTTCAACTGAAGGTAAAGGATTACTGAGGTTATTTCACAAAATGCATTTAAGAAAAAGAGTCTTAAAGTCTTCCTGAATGACTGATTGACTGACTGACTGACTGACCGACTGACCAGCTGACTGACTGACTGACTCTATAATTTACTCTATAGCACACCATATTATACCATTTTTACTATCTCTAAAGCTATCTCTTTTCTTGCTGTTAGAACCATCACTAGTGTTCGAAGTGAAATTAGTTAAACCCATCACTGACTACATAGGACTCAGTGTTCTCGCAAGAAAGTAAGTCTTAAATAGATGAACTGATTTACAGCGATAAAAAATTGAAGAAGAGAGTATCAAGTGAAGAACTCATTCATTTCTTGATCAGCTTTCACGGATGAAGAATAATCAACCAAAACTTTCTTTCTTATTATTCTAGGGACAAGAAGGGCGTGTTCGTTACTTATGTGGTAAGATGACATGACGAGCTGCGCATCATTAACTTCTTAACTATCTGCTACTGTAGAACTGAGATGTATTTAATTAATTTTATGAATTCCACATTTCAAAACGTTTTTTCGAGAGAGAAATGCCATAAATTGACAAAATTTTAAGGTTTACCACATACTATTTCCAGTTACGTTTTTATTAGTTTCAAAGAACGCTTGATCAACAACTAATACCTCTGACGACGAAACAGACAGACAACCTTTATTTAAGCCCGACTCTGAATTAAAGCTCAGTAGCTTGTGAGGTCGTGTGTGTGGCGATCTGCTTTTAAAAGTGCACTTAGTATTCTGCAATGTCTTTAGGGACTGATTAAATACACAGCGGAACCTACAGTTGCGACTACCTCTCCTCAGCGACCAGTTTTCCAAAATACCAAAAGTTTTCAAGTCAAATCCCTATTTTTGGAACCTCTTGTAAGCGACCACCCCTCGCAAGCGACCGCGATCACTTTTAGAGCTAAAAATTAGAAATTTTATTTTGTTTTTAACCTCCCGTAAGCGACCACTTGACAGATAACAGATAGCATGATTTCACATGAATGACACATTGCATCGGCATTGGCACATGAGGCAACTCTCTTCAGTTACCATATTCTGATGAGGCAAAATTTGGACTCAATATGGTCTAAACTCTCGTAGGCGACCACCTAGCCTTGACATTTTGGGTAGTCGCTCACGGGAGGTTCGACTGTACTTCCATAATTAGAGGCGCTAATAAGAGATGATCTCTCTACTTTTCTTTCAGTTGTCTTTCCGTGTGTAATCGTTCCCTGCTCACGCTTGTTCTCGGGGCTGGTCGGCCCTCCATGTTTATTTTTTCCTGTTTTCTTTTCCGTTCTGTTCTTTTTTCACTCACCCTCTTTTCCTGATAGTCTGAGGACAGCATTGCGTACAAGGAGGGATCGATTCAACAGGGCGACAAGCTTCTTGAGGTAAACGGTATAAGCCTCAAGAAAGCAACTCAAGAAGAAGCTTGTAAAGCTTTAAGGGTGAGTTGAAGAGATTGTATTCCTCGCATAAACAGTGCACCGATACATACTAGTTATGCAACCCTTTCGAGTGGTATACCATGGATCACTTCTAAGAAAATAAAGTAACAAGTAGGATATTTCATGGTATAACACGGGATAGCCTTGTATAAATATTTTATACCATGCCATAGAAAATACAGTGGCTAACACAATCAATGCGACATACCCGCGGCGCATGATGGGAAGATTGGATACCGTCGAATTTACAACAGCTTTCCTTTATTCTGATTGGTTGTATTTTCTATGGCATGGTATCAAATTAGACACAATTTAACACAGTCACAAAACTATTGAAAACTGAGGACTCTCAGATTTGAGACATTTACTATTACCGAAGTTATTTTGGTTGCCCTGCAGTGTATTGAGTAATTTTGTCTTGATACAACAGGACAAAGAAATTTCCTACGTGTTGTAGCGATGATCTTTAAGATGTACCATACTCATGTTACCAACCTAAAAAACATAAATGAAACCGGAGAGAAAATGAAACTTGTTACTTCTTAACAGCAATTTTTTTTATTGGTATAATTTTTTTCTTTCAAATGCAGCGCGCCTACGGAACTGTGAAGCTAAAAGTGGGACGAATCTCATATTTGCACTCTTCCCTTTCGTCGTCCAAAACCGAGGCATCCTACATCAATCACGCTCTTGAAGACGATAGAGGTAAGTATACTCTCTTCACATCTTTTCAGAAATTCTGAACCAGCAAATATAAAAATCACTTTCTGGTCTTTCAGGGCTCAGCAAGGAATTCCGGCGGTGGAATAGCTTTGGCTTTGAACAGAAGAGGAAGCGTAAAGTACCACGTGACAGTAATAACAAAGTTCCCCCCAGACGACGGTCAGTCAGTTGCCAAGATTATAGCCAGGCAGGGGATACTGACCTTGAAGGACTGGAACGAGCGTCTTCCGAACACGACATAAGAGGTTGGTTTGCTTTGCTGGGCTTAACAGTTATTTCCTAATTTTTAGATTAGGTTTTGACAAATGTTTATCGACACTATTTTCCGTGTAAAAGGGGTTCGTTAAAGTTCACCTTTTCTAACACGCATCCTGAGACTCATAAATTTGTTTGGTTTTACTGCCTTTGATGTTTCCGTACATAAAATCTATACATTTCCCAGGCCCTTAACCTTGAAGTAATATATCAAACAAGAGAGACAGTGTTTCATCGGGATATCCAAACACCGAGAAGAGAGTATGCGCGGAGTTATTTTTACGACGCGCGGAGTATGTTTGACGAAATTCGGAGTGATTAGATAGGCGATGAAACACTGCCTCGAGTGTTTGATATATCTTCACAATCTAAACAAAAACTAATGAGTTAAATGGAGAAGTAAAATCGTCAAAATCTATGCTAATTAAGACTGGGTATCCAAGCCTTCTTCGCGGTTGGGATTTTCTTTGTTTTAACTTGTTTGGGAAGTTAGATATACTGGTTCTTGGCCAAGCTTGTGCGGTCAAGATAGCTGGACATTGGCTTATGTTTTTTTAGAAAAAGGCGGAGTAGAGGTCTAGTAAACTCACCAAAAGGGGCCAAGATCCAGCCATCTTGCACGAACAAATAAATAAAATAAATAAATAAACAAGCTTAGTCAAGAAATAATTTATCATATGGCTTTCCGGGAAATGTTTCTTTCGGGACAAAGCGGGCAGTCCCGAGCTGGCGAGACAGCGCCATCTTGTCTGCTTGGGTAGCCAATCACAACACAGGATTTGATTCATTTTGTCCGCTCACGGAACTAGCTATACACTTAAGGAAATTATTATGCATCTCGTTTTTCACATCTATAGGGAACAATCAACCCAAGAGAGATAGAAATCACGAGGAGCCACACCAAGAGAGATTTAGATATATTTACCCAGACCGGATTGAGCTGTCATTTAGAGATCAGCCGAGTCGACATGGACAATGCTATCAGAAAGAAGGTAACAGCTTTAAAGACGTTTTCTCATGATGAACCTTTGGGGAGCAGGGATGGTGCAGAGTGAGAGCGCTCGCCTCCCACCAATAAGGCCAGGGTTCGATTCTGGTCCCGTCCCATATGTGAACTCAGTTGTTCGCTCTCGCCTCTCTCTGAGGGTTTTTCTCCGGGTTCTCCGGTTTTCCTCCCTCCACAAAAACCGACATCTCCAAATTCCAATTCGACCAGGATAGAGGACCTGCATGAAAACCAGCTAAGGCTGCTGTGGCTTCCTCTCTAATTATTGAGATTTATTGTATTATAACATGATGTTTTCCTAATGACCATTGCAATATTTGCTCAATTACAATAATCCAAAATTAAGGAATAAACCAATCACTGAAAGCATATAACTGGAAGAAGAAAACAACCAACCAGTTTCAAACACGCAAGAAATCACTGCGAGCCGCGGGAAATAAAGCTAACCGCTGCCAAGCGCGGGAAAACACGAAACTGACGTCGACGCAGGCGCGTAAGAACGCGTCTGAATGACTTTGGTTTTGATCCTGACAGTTGAAAAACATACCGTTTACCTTATTTATTCGAAAGAGCGTCGTCCCGTTTTAAGCGCTGCTCTCGAGTAAGCGCCGCATCGGCAAGTCGAAAAATTTGTTAAGCACCGCGCCGCCGCGTCGCTCCTTCGAGTTAATACGGTATTCCTGTTCTGATTGGTTACTGGCACGTTGCAAGTCATTTTTTTAATCTGGAAATTAGAAAGCTAAGCAAACGGGAAGTGAAGTGAAACTCACTGTATTAATTGGCTTAGAATAGGCCATAAGAGAAATATACATTCCTCTGTGCAAAAGCTCTCTATCCCTGTACTCCCACAAAGCTCTGCTTTACAATGTTACAACCGGTTTTTATTATTGATTTGCAGATTATGTATAAAAAGGGGAGCGACAACAACAGTTCCAATTGCCACTGTAATGGGGTGCAAGCTGGTGTGAACAAGGCAGGGGCACGTTTGCGAAGAAAAAACAGTTATTTCAAACAGAGGAGTTACGTCTATCTGAGAGATCGGCAGCTTGACAAAAGGAGAGGAATCACTTACTTATTTTCTTTTTAAAGTAATAGATGAGAAACTGGTAAATAAACAAGAATCAATATTGTGACCCCAGGGGGACTGAATTCCCATATAAAAAGGACAGGGGTGCTTTTCGTACTTTTCAGGGGTCAAAAAAGAGGTTTTTGTGGTGTTCAGCCTCGTAACGTCCGCAACATTTGTCTTAAACTGTCAGTAATGAGTTGTTTTAGAATTTGTACATCTTAAGGGTGAATAAAATTTCAAGCCACGCCCAAAAAATAGGATCTTGGTAGTCCTTCGGGGTTTTTTCCAAACTTTCGGGCGATCGAGTTTCCCCGTCCTATTTAGATGAGAGTCCCCCCTCCCCACCGGGATTGAGACGTTTTTTTCATGGAGGAGAGTTACTGGACTTGAAGGAAAAGAATGGGTAGGGTATATTTTGAGATGATTACACGTAGAGCCGGGAGACAAAGATTCATAGATTTCACAAGATAAAGCCAAATAAGTCAATTTCGTATTTGATTGGTGCAAAAATATTTCAATGCGATCCTGAAAGTTCATCCACAGACTAGAAAGCTAAAAGCACCTTGTACAGCTTGATAAACAATATTAAACATGCTGATCAGAACTGCTTGATTTAGCACAGGTTTTTGTTATTTGTTTTGTTTGTTTATCTTTAAATTTTGGCTGCTCAGTTTTCGTTTATATCATCGCACAGTGGTTTTTTAAGGATTGGTTCAATGAGCGAAAGAGTTTAATTAGTAAATGAAAGAGTTTAAATAAATTCGTTCANTCCTGAAAGTTCATCCACAGACTAGAAAGCTAAAAGCACCTTGTACAGCTTGATAAACAATATTAAACATGCTGATCAGAACTGCTTGATTTAGCACAGGTTTTTGTTATTTGTTTTGTTTGTTTATCTTTAAATTTTGGCTGCTCAGTTTTCGTTTATATCATCGCACAGTGGTTTTTTAAGGATTGGTTCAATGAGCGAAAGAGTTTAATTAGTAAATGAAAGAGTTTAAATAAATTCGTTCAGGTAACACTACTGTTGTTTCCAATTTCCGACATAGACGCCTTAATTTTCGATCGCGACAGGTGTTGACACAGTTTAAAATTCAAAATACTTGGAGAAAAACCTTCATTAAGTCCATGGGTGACACAGAATTTCTTTGAAATTGCCTGTTCCTAAAGATTAGCTTTTCTTTCAAGGTTTTGATTGGTATGCTCCCGTCTCCGTTTCTTAGTGTTTTTTGTGGCATATGTCTATCTTTGCCTTATTTAAGCTCACTCAGTCTGTCGTTTTCTCCGTCAAGTTATTGACTAAAAAAGCACTTGCCGAAGACAAGGTTTGTTTTAAATTGATTAATTACGACTTTTTCTTGCTTATTTCTAATTAGTGTGTCATTAAGCTCGTTTTATTGCACGATATTGGAATACTTCTTATTTGAGTGGCCCCAAAATGATTAATTTCAACTTAATTCGACCCACCGTCTTTTTTGTGTTATAGTAATATCTTTACGGCCTGTTTATAACGCAAAACCACGCTGGACACAAAATTAGATTTTGCTACTGTTGTCGAACAAAACATTATTTGAGCATTTCAGCTGATTCAATATTTTGTATTAATCGACTCTTGGAACAAATAAAGACCTGTTCTTTTAAACTTCTGTGACTCAAGTGGTGTTACAAAAGGCTGTAGGACTTCAACATAAATCATTTATGTTGTAATCGCACCATACATTAGATTCAAGCCTATTTTAGCACGTAAAATATATAAATGGAAAAGATTTTTCCGACACCTCTTATTTGTTGCTATCGATACAGCGTAATTTTGTTTCATGTTTTAATCAAATAGCGATTTAATCAGCTGCTCCGACAGTGTTTACTTAAAACCTTACTATATTGAATTAAAACCTTTTTTCCTTTTGTGGGAAATGGGTACTTTCGACACTTCCAATTTCTTTGTGTATTTAAACCGTCCTGATATCTCTTTGCGTAATTTAGTTTAACATCTTTTAAGTTTCTGTGCATAATGCGGATATCTGTTGCAGTAACTAAACGCCAATAGGATAACATCGAGACAAACGTTTCAAATTTGAGGCGAGCTCCAACTGAGATGGATCATCCGTAATCAAAACGAAGAAGACCCGAGAACAACAGAACGTTAACACCCAGCACAATTATTTGTGATAATTTTAAGGCAAAAATGAATTATGTTTTTATGGCAGTTACCACCACTAGCCACCAATGAGGTGGAAGAATTAATTAATATCTCTGCTCCTTTGCATCAAGCAGGTGAAAGAGCATCGACCGTCGCAAATTTAACGACTTAACCGGCATCAGCACAAAGATTTAGCTATTTCGGCCCTAACGTACAGTTAAGAACGACACTGCTTTAATATCGACTGTTTTAAGGAATTTTTAGTCGAATTTTTAGCCGAATTTTTTGCGCTTTTCCCCAAGCTCCGGGAGACGTCGTTTTACGCGAAGAAAACTGTCGGAAGGCGATCATGGTGATGGCATGGACAACCGCTTCGGTTATCGTAACAGCTCTACCGCTATGTGTGGTGATTTTAATCGGTATTCTTGGCAATCTAATGGTTGTTCTAATCAGCACTAAAGGCAATAGAGTTCGTACAAAGGGACGAGCCTTGATAGCCAGTTTGGCCTTTGCAGACACTCTGGAGTCTACAAATCTGATATTTATGCTAGTATCAGTGGCACATTACGGACATTGGATTTTTGGCGATGCGCTATGCCAGTTGAACGGGTTTCTCACTACAGAGTTTGTTATTTCGTCCATGTACAGCTTGACTGCGATAAGCATCAATCGCTATTTTATGGTGGTGAAACAAAACTACTATCGAAAGGTTTTCAACCCAAGAAACCAAGCTTTAATTGTCGCTTTTATTTGGTGTATTCCTCTCCCGTTTGCTATCGGACCATTGGTTGGTTGGTCGAAGTTTGAGTTCCAAACAGGAAAATGCATTTGCATCTTTTTCTTCAGTCGATCCGTCGTTTTTTCCGCCGCGCTTCTGGTAGTTGCTGTTCCTCTACCGCTGGGGATAATCTGTTTTTGCTGTTTCAAGATTTTCAGAGAGGTTGGTCACCATTCCAAGCGGGTTACCACAATGAGCAGTAATGCACCTTCAGTGAACGTTGAAGAGGTGCGAATCACTAAGACCTTAGCAGTTGTGATAGGCGCGTACCTAATTTGCTTCATTCCAGCTGCAACCATAAATCTAATTGAAATGGTTCAACCCAGCTTTGAAATACCTCTTTGGATCGATATACTGTCGATGATATTGGTCTTTTGCAACCATGCAAATAACCCCGTTATTTACGGAGCGTTGAACAGGCAGTATCGCAAAGCATTCAAGGACATATTGAAAAATCTCCTTGGAGGGCAATGCTCCTTGGACAAAACGACTGATAGTTCGAACAATAGCACGGTGCTGGAAACAAGTACAGCGCCGAGATCAAGAAAGTTGTTTAAGACTACTGTGAATGTAGCGACAATGGCTAAAGCGAAAAGCAACAGTGAAGCTAAATGCATCGAAAGCACTGGAAACTGTTTAGAAGTAGTGGCACCGAAATGAGTTTGTTGGTTTAGAAAGTTGTTTATAAGGGACAAAATTGAAACACTGAAACAAATTAGACTGTATATAAACTGCTGAGCTTAGGGCCAAGAATTTCAAAGCCTTTCAAAGAATTGCGGCAATTGTATATGTGTGTTTGTGTGTTTCTTTTATTTTTGGCATGAAGCGGTTACTTAAAAAGATTTTATTGAAGTGAACCGTGCTCCTAGCTATAAACAAAATTTACAGCTGTACGGGAAATTAACTAAAAGAGGGCTTTCTGGTATTTTGTGGTTGATTGTAAGTTAATTTTAAGGCGAGGTAAGGGGTTTGGATGTATGCGTCCAGAATATCGTTTATTTACTTATCGTGGCAAGTGCATATGTTAATCACGGCCAATATTTCGGACAAGTGCTTAGCTGACAACATGAACTTTTCATAAGAACAGCAGGTATAGATTGGACAAACGGGTGGTGAATTGAATTATCCAACGACGTAGAAATGAATGGCATTAAATATTAAAAGCTTCTTACAGTACTGGGAATTATCATAATAGAGAACCAGAACAGGGATAACATTTATTAACAGGAAATGGAAAGTTAAAAGTACTGGAAATATTGCCCTCGTGAGATCGTTTTAACTTTCCTTCGCGCAAATTATCGCTTCTCCTCTGACCCTCCCAGGACCATGTACGTGTTCATTGATTAAAGCACCTAGTTATAAACTGAGCACAACGCAAACGGAAGCATGAATAATTGATTATCGGTTTACCTCAATATTACAATCACCAGCCAAAATAGAAAACATTTTTTATTCTTAGCCACAGGTAGATTAAGAAAATCTGCTATAAAAGCTCTCTCTATATATATTTCAAAACTCGATTCGCCCTCAAAGTGTTTCATGCGTGTTAGTCATCTATACCTTCTTAAATTTATTCATACGATTATGCAAAGAGTAACATACTACAAAGAAAGATGTGAAGAAGAGATTGTGTCGACACCAGTGCGTCGGCAATTTATTATTAAACGAAACTACTTCATCAGTGAACTATAAAGCAAATTTTGTTAGAAAAAAAATTAAGTTTTGCTTCTTTTATGGGGCAAAGTGCTTGAACATCGGCGTAATAGAGTGCAATGAATTTCGCAGTGGTCTAATAAATAAGAACTGTTATTGGAAAACAGCCCGGCTCTCCCGGCAAGCCAAAAATGGGTATTTTCAATCTTTTAGCCAATACGAACATTTAAGTAATTGCTCCTAACTACACTAAGGTACTTTCATCACTAGATTCATTACAACACAGGTTTGTTACCCGAGAATTGGGAATTTACTTAGCATTGAGTGATGAGTTCTGCCTGTCAGCTTTGTGCGAGAAGTGCATTAAGACTTCAACCACAACACGACTGTTGCGGCTCTTTCGTTTTTTCTTTGTGTCTTTTTTTCCGTTCCGTATGTTAATGTATTTTCTCACATTCTGCATGCTTTTTTTTTTTTTTTGCTTCGTATGTAAATTTCGTTCTGTATATATTTGTGTTATTCTTTCATGTTTATTTAGAGTCGGTTTATCGTCCGTTACCCTCCCTGAACCCCGCTTCCAGCATTTGGAATTTACCTTCCTACTACGGAAAGTTATTAAATTTGCTGGACTAACTACTTGCAATTCGCTTTAAGTTGTTTGGAAGTCAGCTCTCTGCCTCTTCAACGACAAAAAAAAATTAAATTGCAAGGCCCTTAGTATACTGAGAAGTGTTTTCACAGGACATTTTTATAGTTCAATTCTGACAGAATTACGTGTTTTACTTTCTGTCTAATTTCGAGGAAGTTTAAAATATAGTCCGTATATCTATTTCTGTGAACTTAAATTTTGTCTTTTTCCATGACACATACAGCTCAGGGGAAATACAATACCGAGCAGAACTTGCAAATTATTTCCGACGTTTTATTTCAGACGTTTGATGATCGGACACTTTTTATTTATCTCATTTTGGACAAAGATTTCGGACACTTCCACTCGATGAAACATAGCTTAAGTAATTTTACACCTACAAAACACGAATTAGACTGAAACATAATAGCTTACAGTGCACCCTCAAGGTTATACAGATACACTGACAAGACACACAAATTCTTTCAGGCCGTTACGTATCTCAAGCAGCGTTTCAACTATAGTTCACTCCGTAAAGGAAACTAAGAGCTGTGGAGCTACTTAGAAATGATATATTGTACTGTAAATATTTCGGACGCTAAACATTTCGGACAGTTTTATTTTCGGACTTTTTTTGTTAGATATTGTATGCATGCAAGTAATGTATGCGTGACTGTATATTCCAAGATTTCCCAGTTCCTTTTCAATCAAATTTTCTTCGTCGTTAGTCATATGTATAACACTGCCATACTGTCAAACAGAGAAACCTAAAGCTGTACTGAAACGTTTACACTTATTTCATTTCATAACACTGCTAAGCTTTAAACAGCTGTTCTATATTTCTAATAAATGAAGACAAAAACTAGTTTTGTTAGTACAGTAAAGTACCTTTTCATTGTTGTTGTGTACTAAACATTAAGAAAACATTAAAAAAAACAGTGGAGAACAGTTCCCAGCAACTTAACATTTTAATTGTGTATTTCTATCGAAACAAATATTTTCGGAGTGTAAGAAAAGAAAATGAGGGCTTCTATTGACAAGTAAAATTAAACTAAAACTGGCATTGGAAGGTCTTACAAAAAAAATACTAGTCCAAACAAATCATTGCAAGCGTTTCTTATCTGCTCTAACATGAACAACAGTTCAACGAAAATGTCAACAAGACTCTAGGTTTCTATTTCTTGCGGAGTGATTTCGCGACGACGTAATTTCGCCTTTACTTTAGTCTCGCTTGCAGCTGTGCTCTATGATTGGTTCAAAAAGTCCGCACCACTTTGTCAACCAATCAGTGGTCAAAGACTTGCTCGTGCCTTCATATCTATCAAAGCTACCTTTGCAAGGGTATTCAAAAAAGGCCTGCACTAACTTGCAAAATATAGAAAATTCACGGTCCCAATTTTCTTCATGTAATATTGGTAAAAACAATCAAAGCAAACTAAAGACCTACAAAAGTGACGCGGCCGAAAGCTACTTTTGCAAAAGTGTTTACAAAAGGGCCTTAAATTGACACTGACTCATCAAAATTTCAAAATATCTCAGACCCAATTTTGATGTAACTAATTTCCAAATGCTACGAAAGACAAGTTGGTATAAAAGGACAAGAAGTTTGAGTGGAAATCGCACCATTAGGAGGAAGAAAGTGGATTACCTCTGTTTTCATCAATATCTATTCTTTAGAAATTGTTCAGTTTGTAGCGAATCTTGCCATGATTACAGCCCTAAAATTTTTGGGTCTTTTGCACGCCTTTCGTTGTGTTTTAGAAAAAAATAAAAATGTTATTCACCAGCCTAGGTCGGTCCGTATTGGGAAAAACTGTACCCTCTGTCTTGAGTACCGCCCGAGGCCTGTGGCCTCGGGCGGTATCCAAGACCTCAGGTACAGTTTTTCCTAACATGGACCTCCCGGCTGGTGAATAACATATATTTCAGGCTAACATGTTCAATTTATATGGGAGTTTGGAAGAGATGGCTTACAGAGTTATGTGAATATTAATCAAGAAATAGAAAACATGCATCGTGTTTCTATCGAGTTATAGAAACATGAGTGGAAGTTTGGGAGAACGAGAAATGCTGTAGGAACACAAGCCGCAGGCGAGTGTTTCAACAGCTTTCTCGAGTTCTCCATAACTTTTACGAGTGTTTCTCGATAGAAACTCCATAGAAACACGGAGAACATGTTTTCTATTTCTTTTAGAAAACACCGCGACGAAAAAAAGGAAAACAGCTTGTTAACTTTGATTATCAAAGTGTAAATTCTCTTTGCTCGCACCATCATTACGTCAACAGCTCATGCTAGTTCTGTGTTTCTATCGAGTTATAGAAACACGATTTTTAACCAATCAGCGCGCGTATTTTCTTAGGACTTTTCTAATGTGTTATGTCTCCGATTTACAGAAGTGAGCAAATCCCCCAACCGGCAAGACCTTGCCGATATAGACAACAAGATCAGCAAACTTGGATTTGTTAAGTAAAATAGACTGGAAACCCCAATACGCGTAGATGGTCCACAGGAACCCCTCACTTTGTAACATTTGTTTGAATACTGTACTGTAAATGCTGGAAAAAAGCCTGTAGGGCATTTGTTTTTGAAATAGGATAACTTAGACAGGGGATGCTTATTCCATGGGGAGCGACCGGTACTTTTTTATCTTTCCTTATCATGGCCAGATGGTAATTTAATGGCAAAGGGCACGATTGGTTTTGCCTCTCACCGGTTGAGAAAGTGGTGGTTCTAACTAATCAGAGAGCAAAGTCAGTAAAGGAAAACCATAGCAAATGAAAATTACTTTTGGCACTCAAATGAAAACCGCTATAAGTAAGTCGATTTTCTGGAAAATGGTTGCCATATATGAAATTTTATATATTTATCTGGATTCTGTGAGAGGTTTGGAGCAATTTGAGGTATTAATGTTATAACGCCATCGGTTCGCTTTAAGAAAACGCTCTCTGAAGTTGGAAATTGTTAACGCGGAGTTTGTCATGCCAGTATGGACGGGCGAAAAGAGAGGTTTACAACACCGTTAACGTTATAAAAACTTCATTTACGGTTTACTAGATCCTACAAATTTCGTTTAAATTCATCAAATGAATTCACGGAGTTAACAATTACTTCCTGGACAGTAACTGGCCCCCTAATGATTTCAGTGTAATGTATTTACCAAGATTTTCAGATTCGATTCGCTCATGAACGAGAAAAGGTGCAAGAAATTCACAGGTCCTTTTCTCAAGAAGTCAACGTTGTGGGCTCATTTCGTTTCATTTTAAAATCTTTGCATCATTGCCTAACTGTGAGCTAATCGTAACCGTGGAATCATGTCTACACACAACCCTGAAATACGTTTAACACTTTGGAGGCCCCTTTCAACTGCATTCCCAAACCTCCTCGAACTATTCATTCATTTCATTTTGTATATAGTGTACGTTTAACTTGCATATACCTGATCAGTGAATAAAAAACTTTGTCGGGAGAAGTGGTACTTGGTACTTTGATTTATTTCATTTTAATTTTAATGTAACTTATTTAGTAGTACTGTTTACGTATTAGCACTGAAAAGGTCCCATGGGAACTGCTAATAAAATTTGTATTGTATTGTATTGACTGTAAGAAGACGGTAAAGAGAGGTAAGAGCGATCCTCGCGGCTTCTCCACTCAAGTGTCCGCTGGAAGAGAACTTAAAAGAAGAATTTGGGAGAAGAAAAGAGACTGCTCGTAGTCCGAGGGAGATCCCCGCTGTGGGCTCAGTCATACCCCGATGACCAGCTCACAACATCTCTTCATGATAAACATGTAACTTGTGGGAGTAAAGAAATGGTCAGCGAAAATATAATTATCTCGTCTTGAAAGAAATTCCCCTAATTAATACCATACGTAGCACATGAAGAAAGGTAAGGAGGACACATCACGACTGTAAACAAGAAAGAGCTTCCTTATCGGCTTTTTGTGGTCCTCTCCCCATTTTCCCTCTCCTTCGAACTTAATCATCTTTGAAATAAATTTTCTCTGGCCACGATAATCGGAACACTTCAGGAAGAGCAAAAACAATCAATTCCAAGAACGTTGCCAAGGACAACGTGGTTGCTTGCAGCCGTGTATTAATTAGTATAGAGAAAAGCACTGTTATTATATGAAAACGAAATAACAAAGGAGAAGAAAGGTTAGGGGTGACGGAAGAATTTGCCAAATACTCCCGAGGGCACCGGACCAAGTGGTACTTGCTTAATCCTACTCGCGGAACCTCAGAGTCAAAACAGTTTCTTGTTTCCTGGGCACCGGCGTTTTTGAGCGACAGACGGCAACCGGAAGTGGGGTTTGTTCTCTTTTTGCTTCCCTTAGCGCTACCACATTTGTATTACTAAGTGTGTTTATTCTTATAAAGACGATTTACTGAAAATTTGTACACAACCACTGCCCATGAATACGAAACTTTCACTTCCGGTTGCAGTCCTTCGCCTGAAGTACCCCTTTGCTTAAAATATTGTCTCCGCGGCGCATGGAAGGTCTTCCTGTGGGAAAAACCACCTACTTTTATGAGGACAATATTGCGTCATAGAGATAACAAAAATTGTTTTATTTCAAATGTTTCTAAAATTGCCAAATTTTTGTAGCAGTAAGATTGAAATCAAACATTTAAAAAAGGCGACACACCGTTTAAGTATTATGTAACTTTTTTCACTGATTTGTATTATTATTCTACATTTTGTAATTTACACCTATTTGTTATACAGTACTTTATATAAAGTCACTCACTTGTAAACATCCTTTAACTGAAGATGAATACTGAATATCCGAAACATGTCTTACAAATTTAAACGGTGTGTCGTCTTTTTTAAATGTTTGGTCTCTAAAATTGAATAGGATAGACTTACTATACATGCAACACTGGGCTGTTTACTCCATACTAGTGCGCCACTGGTTCGTCCTCATTACAGACATTACAAACTCTTTCTCTTGATAGGAGAGGGAGGAATGTAGACGAAATTTGGACTGGTGGCAATACATAACGGTTACAGAGAACAAATGATAACAGGAGGGCACTTCCACCAGTTTGCTAATTGAACACTAGGCCGGTCATGCATACACCACCATCTTTTACAAATTAAAAGACCTGGGCCCATTTTATTTTTTAAAGTACGATTAAGTGAGTCCGAAATTAGAGCCAATTTATGGCTGAAAACAGTGGCCATCGATTATGGCCCCGACAAAACAAAAAAACTTGGCTATAATGGCAAAATTAGTGGAGTAATGTCAAGTAGAATTAAATCCACTCTCGAGCTACTGGGCTGTGATCAGTATCCTCATAGCCTATTCAAAAACAAACATTATAGTACTTTAACAGATGGACCATTCTAATTTCGTGTTTATTATGAGGAGCGGGAAGGGAGGGAATGGGGAGGAGTGCAATATTTGACTACCAAAATTTGTAGTCGAAAACGATTCCTATCACCGACTAGTTTGCAAGATATTTCTTTTAAAGCATCACCATGTATACGATGTGGAAATGGTTTTGCAGGATTTGTCTGTTTTGCTTTGCTCCGCTTCGCTATAAAATAAAATGGTCCATGGATAAACTGCTGTTACTTTAGGGTGTTAGCTCGTCTCAAGCAGATCTAAGCTGCAGTTTTCTTTTCACCACATGGGACTTTTTTTTACAACTTAATTAATCAATTATTTTTTAAAACGTATCAAATTCTAAAGCGAGGGACACTAGTGAAAAAATTGTCTTCATAACCTTGCTTAGAAACGTCTAGAAAAATATTTTATGACTTAACTAAAAACTCTTGCTAAAAATTAAATCAACTCTACTTGATTTTAAACTGATTTTTTTCAAATACAAGTACATGGAACATTCTATCTGATAACATGGCCATGACTTCTGATCATCGGCATCATCATCATCATTAAATTAACTTAATATAATTCTGGAAATCAAAGCAAACATGAAGCTTATGACTTTTACAATTTTTTGGATGTAACATCATTACACCCGACGCTATTAGCCGTAATAGTTAAACTAAAACAACTCGAAATTGTCGACATGTCAGCTCCCTGAGCGAGTACCTCTTTCTTGTCTCGGCGTCGCCATTTCTACCAAACAAATGCAAAAATAATCAGGCATACTATGACACCACCGTTCACTCTTATGGACTACATTAAAAACGCTTCTTGGGAGACACTTTTCTTGAGTTACAGTTAAGCATCTCCTGGACATGGAATGATAAGTGGAGAGAAAAATGACAAGTGGAGAGAAGTTTTGTGAATTTTCAAAACAGGCCAGCAAACCAGGAAATTGGAGCCTAGTTAAAATATTTGACTAAAACTTGATACTAGGGGATTTGAGCACAAACTACGAGATCAGGGACAAGTACAACTTTCAAACTTCACGACAGTCATCTCCACAGAACCCTCGTTCTTCACTATTGCTTAATAACTGATAACGAGAGTTTAGAAACAGGATTGATGTATGAAATGATTATGCGAACAAGAACTAAAAAGTCGTGCTCGTCCTTAATCTCGTATTCGTAGTAAAATCTAAGGGTCCCTACTATATTGGTGATATCAAACAAATGCCCAGTCGTCGGAAAGCAGTCCATGACATGAAATTATCTGGACCCCTGATGATACTGTTACTACATCAACAGTTTAACCTGTTAGAAACACCCCTAATTTTAATAGGCCGGAGCTGAGCTTGGTAACTTCTATTTTTTATCGTTGAAGAAGGACTGTAGGGTATTGAGATCCAACATTTTGCAAACTGTAATTACATGAAAATACGTGGGAACAGATTCTGAACTGCCCCAGTTACATTTTGAAAAATTTAAAGTGGCTCGAAATTTCCTATAACAACTTTTTAACCGTTACAAAAAAATCTGTATCTTAACTGGCATGCTGATGGTTGTCCGATTTTATAAAATGAGGGTCGCCGGGCTTATTTTTGAGTTATGATCACTTAGAACCAAAATAAGGGGTGTTTCTGACAGGTCTGATATCGTCCCTATGATAACCAATTTTGCAACAAAATACATCATAACTTAACTTGTTCACCAATAATTGAGAATTTGTTTGTTACCATTCCCATAGTATCAGCTTTTCAAGTGTGCTAGTACTGATCCATCAAGGTACAAGCGTCGGGACGCGGGGAAACTGGTTTAAGCCTTGTGCGAACATTTGTGGCTATGCAAAAGGAAACCACAATCTTGCCCTTGAACTCCAGACCAGGGGTTGTCCATGTAAAGCAATATGATACCTTTTGACTTCCGTGTATATGTTGTGTTTCAATTTTATCCTTGGTTTAAATATTTTTTCTCCCTTTGTTTTAAACTAATTATCATGCATTATCATACATTACCGTACCCCAAAACAAAGGGAGAAAAAAATTCAAACCAAGTATAAAATTGAACCACGATACATATATCGGTAACGCCTTCCAAACCTTCCTTGAAATTGACAACATTCTTGTTTTCTTGAACAATAGAAGGGTTACTGATAGATTAACCTTTCAACAGATCATAGACCTTTCTTACAGTCAGGTAGTGAGTAAAAGAAAATGTCCTTCTGTTCAAAGATCAAAGAAATCTTCACTTACCATTTTTTTTCTCCACATTCAAGCGTGACGTCATCACCAATCAGCACAAACGGAGCCCAGTACTTAACGGCGCTGAACTGCTGCGTCTCGCGAAGAGATTTCATGGCCTGGTAAAGAGCCAAACTGGCTCTTTTTCCATATGCTAGTTGTCTGTAGAAACTTTCCATGAACAGCAACGTTGCTTTGTCATCAATCGCCCAGAGTGACACTAGAACAGACCGGGCACCAGCAGATAGGAAAGCACGAGCGATGCCGACTACACCCTCAGACTTCACCTCTCCACGACCACTGTGACAGCAGCTAAGCACAACGAGTCTTGCTTTAAGACGTACGGCCTGCACATCCGCCATTGTTAAAATGAAATCTTCTTTTTTAGGGATTTGTGATGCCCGTTCGACGTTGGGAGCTAAGGCTATTTCTCCAGTTTTCGGACATCCGTGTGCTGCAATGTGCACCAAAGCGACTGAGGTAATTCTTTTCAGTACTTCACTTTTTGTTGCATCTCTTCCAGTAAGAGGTGTGGTGTTTAGAAGTTTCGCGATCATCTCGACCTCCCTTCTGGCGTAAGGCAACTGTGTTAACTTCGTGGGAATCTGATCCACAGAAGGATCTCCTACGAGCAATGCCCCAGTATTACTGTGGAAGTCCTTAGGTGACTCTCTGATTAGCTTTAACGCTGTTAGTGAGGGAACAGTTGTGATCCTGACCGACTCAGTCAATGCAGAATAAGGAGCAAGGCAAAATGCACCATCCGGGACAACGATTAACTGATCATCTCGGAGCATGTCTGCAACTGGGCCAATAATTACATGAAACAAGGAGCGCAAAGAATTTACTGAGGTGGTAGCGGACTGTGTTTGATCGGCAACGACGGCCGCTCTCTTGGTTTTTGGCTCATCACGCAGCACATCCAACGAACGATTCTCGCATCTTACATCAACACCTGCGCCAATCTCCTTCAAAAACGTTTCCATTAACTGGGATGCACTTCCATCTTCGATTACCGTTTGCTTAAATCGGAGCTCGGTGCCTTTTCTCGTAAACCAATAATTGATCGTGTTCTGATCCAGTGCTATGAAAACTGTTTGTGTTGACGACTCATGCAATACAGATGAGATCGTTTCTTTGGGACTGAAAGATATGGGTGCGTCAATGCCATATTGTTCCTTCAATGCATCCGTCAGCGCCTGGGCTCGTCCTTGTTCAGCAGCACACAAAGCCTTGTCAGTCTCTCCATTCTTGAGAAGAGTTCTCCACAGAGCAGTGTACGCATCTCGATAGCGATGACGAAAATGGATCTTCCAGTCATCTTCTGACTCCAAAAGAGCTCTTCTGTCGTTAAAGAGCCTTATGCTCGATTGATAATATGCCTTAGCCTCACTAAAAGAACCCTTCTTATCGAAATCAAGGCCTAGTGAATAGCATGCAATTCCCTCTCCAGCTTTGTCGCCAAGTTCTTTGGCAATAGCCAGGTCTAGACTGTGGTACTCTATGGCTTTTTCAAGATTACCTAGATTATGGTAAGCGTTGCCTAGGTTACAGTAGGTACGTCCCTCCCCAGCCCTGTCTCCTAACTCTTTGGCAATACTAACATGTTTCATGAGATACTCTATAGCTTGTTTGAAATTACGTAGGCCTTCATAAGCATTTCCTATGCTTCCATACGCCGTTCCCTCCCCAGCCTTGTCACTCAGTTCTTTTGCGAGACTGAGGGTTTGTTTGTAATGCTTTATAGCTTGTTTAAAATCGCCTAGTTGGTAATAAGCATTTCCGAGATTTGCTTCAGCATTTTTTTTCCCATTGTTGTCTCCCATTACTTCTGCAATACGAAGATGTTTTTCGGCATACTCCATGGCTTGTTTAGAATCACCTAGACTATGATAACAAATGCTAAGATTACCATAGGCACCTCCCTCCCGAGCTCTATCCCCCAATTCTTTCGCGATATTAAGACACTGATTATGGCACTCTATGGCTTGCTTGTAAAACCCCAGCCTTTCATAAGCATTGCCCAGATTTCCAAAAGCGAATCCTTCCCTAGCCCTATCTCCTACTTCTTTGGCAATACTTAATTGTTGTTTGTGATATTCTGCTGCTTGTTTAAAATCACCCAGACAGTAATAAGCAATGCCCAAATTCCCATAGGCAGTTCCCTCCCCTCCTCTGTCCCCCACGTCTTTGGAAATTCTAAGATCTTTTGAATGGTACTCTATTGCTTGTTGAAAACTACCCAGACTATGATAAGCATTGCCGAGACCACTATAGGCCGTACTTTCTTTGGTCTTATCACCCATTGCTTTGGCAATACTAAGAGCTTGATCTTGGTACGCGATGGCCTGCTTAAAATTACCCAGCTTGTGGTAAACATTACCCAGAATTCCACAGGTGTCTCCCTCTCGAGGCCTGTCCCCCAGTTGCTTGACAACACATAGATGTTTTGTGAGGTGCTCTATAGCTTGTTTGAAATCACCTTCTTTGTAAAAAGCAACACCTAAAACTAGATCTTCGTTGCTATTTCCTCCCCAAGCCCCATCTCCCACCCGTGAATCGTCCCCCATCTCTTTGGAAATTTTGATTCTTTTGATGTAATACTCTGAGGCTTTTTCAAAATTACCCAGACCTCTATAACCATTTTCCAGGTTCCCATAAGCTCTTCTCTCTCCAACCCTGTCCTCCAGTTCTTTAGCAAAACTAAGGTGTTTCATATGGTACTCTATGGCTTGTTTAAGATTACCCAGACGATTATACACAACGCCCAGATTTCCGTAGGCATTTCCCTCTTCAGATTTGTCCCCCACTTCCTGGGCAATACTAAGAGCTAGTTTGTGAGATTCTATGGCTTGATCAAAATTGTTTAGTTTGTCATGTGCATTTCCCAGATTGCCATAAGCTCTTCCCTCTGCAGCCCTGTCCTTCATTTCTTTGGCTATACAAAGATCTTTGGTGTGGTTATTTACGGCTTGTTTAAAATTACCCATTCGGTATAAGGCGTGCCCCAGACCTCCATAAATTCTGCCTTCCCAAGACCTGTCTCCAATCTCTTTGACAACGCTTAAACCCTTGAGGAAGTACTCAAGAGACTTTTTGAAATCTTTAATCCTGTAAAATGCTTCACCCAGATGGCAATAGACCTGTCCCTCACCAACCTTATCACCCAATTCCTTGGCAATGCTAAGGTTTCTTAAATGGTTCGCTATCTCGTCTGGGGTTTTATCCACCATCTCCGCGGAACTTTAAAATGATGTCAAATGTACCTCGTTACTCCAAGCTAAGTACTTGCCTAAAGGAAAAGAAAGTTTGAGAATCTCAGTCATCTAATCACATTTAGGTTTATTCGCATTCTCTATAAGGCCGGTTCGTTTTCTCGAACTATAAAATAGTTTTATCACTAATTACTGTTTTCAGTCAAGATCAATGTGTTACTTACCCTTCGCTGAATGATGACATTAATTCTTTCTCTATTGAAAAGACCGTCAAGACAATGACGGAGGTAAAAGACCATGTGTAATTAAGATCGCCAGCTCTTAAACCAGCGTGGGAAGGGTTGGACAGCCCGTTGATTTGTGTGATTGTTTTCAACGAAAATTCGTCGTAGCTCTCATTATACACTGACTACCGGGCTTGTTACACGATTAGTTATGGATAGATTGAAAGCTCAGACCAGTGCGTCTGAGTGAATTGGTGTCTCCAGACGCGGCAAAAACCAAATCCAGTAGAGGAGGGGTGGGGAGGGGGATAGGGTTATCCTTTTGAAAAAGTCATTATGGTACTCATCTGAGACTTTCTAAGGGGTCCATTCAATGAATTGATGTCAGTAAGAGTTTATTAAAAGAGACTTTGTCCCACATTAACAAGTGGGTGAAAAAGCGCGCCAAGGCTTTTAATTCCACTTTTTTGGAATAAACGCGTTGGTAATGGTAATGGTAATTTATTTATATACCGCACATATCACATAGTTCCAGCGAACTGTGGTTTATTATCAATGTGTTGAATATAAAGGCAATTATCCCACTTTATTTTGAGGAATGTCGCGTGCATGATTTTCGCCACCTCGGCGACTAAGAATCAGGCGATATTGAGCGCGATTTTACGGATAACTGTTACCAACATAACGGTCGGAGTACTGGCACTGAAAATTACTTACTTTCGCTGACCACGTCCCAAACTTGTATTTGACTTTTTAGGTAAACGCTGTAGAGATGATGAAGCCCCGCATGAAAATAAATGGTGGGTGAGTGACTTGCTGAGGAAACCAACAAAGAAGAAGAATGTCATGCTATCTATTGGTATTAATGCAGGGTAACGGTTCTGGCTAAATGTTAGAGCCTTTAACAAAGGGAGTTACAGAAACGGGAGAGTTGTATCAGAAATGTGCCCTACACGTCCTCATATATACGCCAGAAAATTATCCTTCACACATTTAATAAGAGACAGATCATAAGACGCTTTGCAAGTTATACAGCGCTGCAATTCGATATTTCAAAGGTTTTGTTTTGATGGATAAGATGTTTTGCTCTCCTAAGTTTAAATTCTTTTACCCTGCTAGCAAAGGTTTCTCTCTGGCAAGGCTTTTAGCACGTACGAAGTCGTTCGCGTCTCTTCTATTTCGCGTAGTCGGCTTGTTTACTTCTCTGAGAGAAACCTCTGCCACGAGCCGCTTACATTTCTCGTTGAGCATGCGCTGGATCGTAACCAAGTTACTGTAGAGATTATGACGTAAATCTCTCCTGACACGATGCCGCAACCGTTTTTTCGTGTACAAAGTACACCATTCAAAACAGAATATAACGTTTTCGAATGATAAGGAGTTAGAGACAATCGTACAATTCTCAAAAGCTCTTAAAGCCTTCTGGACTGCTTCGTTGAGACATAAACGAGAAAGACCTTTGGCAGCCACCTTTCGACTTCACGCAGGCTCATTTTTGCACAGCAAATCAGTAAAAATAGATGCGCATGAGTTGACAAACTCGTTTGAACCGTTTTTAACCTGTTTATCACGTGATCTACGACTACGCGAAATGCAAGGGACGCGAACGACTTTGTACATGCTAAACGACTTGCCAGAAAGAAACCTTTGCTAGCAGGGTAAAATTCTCTCGGAAACCAGTCAAGGACATCAATTGCTCGGTCAAACAAAATTTAGAGAGGTTGGATACGTTTGACCAACGAAATAGATGTAGATTTTGAGTTCATAGTACTTACATCTTGACAACCATCAAACGCAGGTCTGTCCACTTGGTTCAGACATTGTCTCGAGGGAGTACTGAAAATACCTAGAACGTATATAAAATGAAATTAGGTTTTTCTTCATTTTATGCACCTTTGGCGGAGATCACGAGGAAACTATTTTTTCTGTTAATGACAAAATATAAGTAACATGGAAATTAACAATCTTGATGACATTATCATCGTTTTTGTTATCCTAGACAATAACCCAGAAAAATACTTGTTATACAATGGTTGGCGTAAATCTCGCGTTTTGATTGGTTTAGAGGAGTTTGCGATTAAAGTACAGACACACGGATGATGTTATAAGCCGAAAAATTTTTTTAAAAAAGCAATGTATAAGAGAAAGATATTCCATTTGGCCGTGCATGTGTAATCTGATAACACACGGATGACGTCAAAACGTGGTAAGAACAAAGACGTAAGCTACGTGCTACGGGCGAGTAGTGTGACTGCTTATTTGTGAAATTACGTTATTACTCTCTTGGAAATATCCTATTTACCGCTAGACAACTACCGCTAGACAAGGGGAACGAAGACTCTGGGTACAAGATTAAAAGTCAACTCTACATCTGTGATGAAAAGGCAAAACATTTTTCAGACCCTTAGCATTTGAAGGGCTTTCCATGTTGAAAAGAACCTAAATAGCATTTACAGCATAAGGTATGAGCATAAATAGTCTTATTACCATTTTACCACTCATCAAAGCTCTGAAGAAATCAAATGATTCTTAGGCCCAGTTCAGACGTCGTACTTCTGCCGTGCCGAACTAAATTCAGGAAATTAAGTTCGACAAACGCACGGTAGAAGCACGGCGTCTGAATCAAACTTTTGAATTCGGCAAGCAATTAAGTTCGACAAGCTCTGCCGTGCTACACGACTCTGGCACGACAGTGATTCAAACGTCGTGCTTCTGTCGCGCCAAACTAAATTCATAAATTATGTTAATGTGTTTTGGCGAGATTGCGTGTTTCCTCGGGGAGTTAGGAGAAGAATTGTTACGAGGCTTCAGTAAATGCTGAATTTGATGCGACTCTGTCACGACGTCTAAATCAGAGTTGGTTTCCCGCCGTGCTACAGTCGAACCAAATTGCAATTTAGTTCGGCACGGCAGAAGCACGACGTCTGAACTGGGCCTTAGAGAATTGTCGGTTGCACTGTCTGATACTCATAAGAGCGTATCAACTGGTGGAATGTGAGCGGTCTTCCCAGAAACTAATGCATTTTATGAGCTACTTTCGCAATCGGCATTTAGCTATCAAATTAACCCCTTATTTCAAATACATCATCAGGCGGGTTTTTTGTCAAGCTGATAGAAGGGTTTGGAAAACTCTAACCTTGGCTGGGTTGGCACTAAGACTATTGAAAATGGAGCACTTAGTATTAAAACAACAGAGCGTTACAAAGATGGGAAATAGTAAGTAAAAAATCTATTTTCTGAGACATAACACAACAACATGGCAAAACCGATGATTCTGGAAATGCCTCTGATGATAGATTCTAAGAAAACAAAAGGTTGTTATGAAAACGTCTGATTCAATATCTATATGTAATTTGCTGCCCTTTTGAATTTTAATTTAAACTTGTCTCACGCTCTATTGTCTGAATTTTATCGTCGAACGTCGCTGCTTTAGAAATTGTTCGATTCCCATTCTAGCTAGCAATGACTAAAACAAATAGACTTAGGTTTTCCACCAGTTCTTTAACATCAATCGCAAAATAATCCTTGTCTTAACATTCGATCAAGCATATGCTGATTTTAATCAAGACCGTTCCAGTGTGCGCACTTCGGTGCTTTTGCTTGCTTTCGTTTCCACTTCCAAAGAAATGACTGGTTAGAGCTTATGATCGTGTCACTAGGACAGCAAGGCTTTTATTTAACATGAAATGCAGAGTTAATGTATTAAAATTGGCCGAAACGTTCTTATTAATGCTTCTTGGAGTCAGATCAGGCAAGCTCGCAGAAACACCCTCCAGATAAGATCTAGAAATTTCGCGACAAACAGTTTTGCATGCAGTGGAAACTCGATTAAAAAATCCCAAACGTGTTTTCCAAAGCCTTACTTTTACAGCCGATGATTATAATGTAATATTATAAAGTACAAGGAGGAAAGATGGATTAATTAAGTGATGTTGGTGGACTTAAATGACAGATTCAGAGATGTCTGCATAAAGTTAGAAACAGCAGACAGTTGTTATCATGCATGATCATGGTTCGAAATGATCGAATTTGCATCTAACTACTATACTATCAGGGAACGACAGTGCGTTAACCGCACTTTAATGCCTTCAGTGCATCACTTACCCCTTACTCCTTCTCCTTGAGGCAAAACAGTGGTCTGTAGAAGTAAGAACTCGAACCTAAGACAAACAGGGAAATTGTTTCTTAGAGAAGCGTAATTCAGTACGCCACAATAACGTGGCAGTAGTCATGCATCGTGCATGGATGATTGTAGCGGAAGTTATTAACATAGGATTTAATATTTATATGAACAACGTCATAAAAGAAACTGCCAGAGGTTAACCCTACGTAGGATTGACTCCCTTAAAAATAAATCCTTGAAAAATACAAGAAGAAGAAGGAGAAGGAGAACGAGGATGAGGAGGAGGAGAAGAAAAACAGTAATAGCTAAAGGTCATGGTAATTGTGACGGTAACGGCAACAATTAAACATCCATACATCCTTCACTATCTTGTGGTCAGGTAAGGTGCGTCTAAAATGGAGACTGTTTCTTGTTTTTTTGTTTCTAAAAATACCTTGATAAACACAAAGTTGACTATATAAAAGGGTCAAAGCTCTTCTCTCTTTCGACAATACCTCATTTGCCTTTTGTTTGCACGAGGAACGGAGTTCGAACTGACGCGCAGAGCGTTGCACTTCTTCATAAGTTAAGCTTGTGTGAACAAACAGTGCTACAATTGCAAAACAATTTAATTTGTGAATTAAAATGAAAGTTTGTTTGGAAACTTTGAGTTTTCATTTCACGGGTTTGTCTGGGTCAGCGCCAACAGGTACTGCATACTAAATGCACATCTTAGTTGTGTGTTCTAATTTCTTCTTGTTTTCCATCTTTTTTGTCGCAAACGTAAATAATCTTGAAACTTGTTGCATTCATTTTAACCTACTCGTGGCTTAGACAATCACGAAAGAAAAAAAATCTACAATTTAACCACCATTAATTTTATGCTTTTCTCTTCGTCACTGTTAATTAGCAACTGAGACCATTTCAACTCGGAAAATTGGCAAATTGCGAATTTCAGAGCTGTAGGAGTGAGGCTGATTTAACTTTTTCCATCCTTCGCCCCTTCGATTCCTGTCAACCATTTTGTACATCCGCTGATCAGTGCATAACGCTTGGTATATACAGCTGTTTCGAGAAAGGTTGTCGGAAAATAGCACAAAAGTGCACGCGACAGTCATGTAAGGTATTATGGGTAGTTTTAAGTTCCCAGTTTCTTGACTTCGGCATTTTAGAGAAATCTGTGCGGACGAGGCATCGTGGATTTGATGTATTCACATATCTATTTATTTATTTGACTTATTAATATTTATTGATCACCCGATACCCAGATTACCTTTCTGGATTGTCGCATGCACTTTTGTGCTTTTTTCGACAACCTTTTTCGAAACAGCTATATATCGCTCATGTAATAGACTAGAATTCCACCCATCAAACGCGTATACTTTACAACCAAACTTAACGGCCAAATGAAAAAGCAAATTTCATCAAGATACTACAAAAAACTAAGAAAAGATATACAGAACAGGAGGAAGTTGCATAGGGTCATAATAATGACGGGAGAGTAAAACGCGCCAATTTGAAAGGATTCTTGCAACTGTCCCACTGTCTTCCATTGTAGCTTTCCCTGACCATGACAAGTTCGTTTCCCCCTCCCTTTACCCTGGCCGCTGGAAACCCAGAGAAAACCTCTCAGGCAAGGCTCTAGGGTCCCTCAGGGCTTCTTGAAGTTTTACAAAAATGCAAGACAAACAACGCTTATTAATATAATCTACATTATTTTAATGGCCGTATACCACATTTTGAACGAATTAAAACTGACAATGCTAATGTAATATAAATATGACCAAATATGGATTTGTAATATTTCAAACCCTTCCCCCGTTCGTTTGCTAGTCTTATGCTATTGTACAGAATACATCTGTTAACCCCATCGACGAACCAGTACAATAGGAGAATACAGTCGCAAATATCTAAGCTAATTTATTAAGCGTTTTCCCACTTATTTCTCAGCTGGCTTGGTTTTCTTTGCTCTTTTCGGGGGAATATATTGCCTACCCCTGGCAATTATGAAACGACTGAAGATTCGGTGTGGCTTTAATTTACCTGCCTATTAAGGGCGTGTTCATATGAGAGGACGTGCTGGCCGGTTACCGAGATCTCGGTGACCGGGATGAAAATTTTCCCATATGAACACTACAGCCTGGGTGACCGAGACGAAACTTTTTTGACAAAATAGCTTAGCTTTCACAACATAGCGGCCAAAATGGCATAATGTTTGCCGTGTATGTATTTCCACTCCAGAAGCATGCGAATTAACCTTATTAGTAAAGCTACAAGAGTCCACAAAGCTACGACAGTCGCGAAAGATACAAATTTGTGTTTCACAATTTTGGCTTTGTTTCTCGAATTTCATCTCGGCCGACCGGGCCGAAATTTCCCATATGAACAGACCAAAAAATTCGTCCCGGTAACCGAGCCGGCCCGGTTACCTGGCTCACATGAAGAGGCCCTTTGAAATTAACAGTTTCATTCAGACTGTTAATAGACCTCTTGACAATCTTCACATAAAAAAATTGCAAAAGTGATGATAAACTTCAGTTAAAGCCAACTTAGCTTGTCATTCTCGACTCTCTCGGTGAGAGTTTTCGAAGCATTTNAGTGTCTCCATACCAGCCCCCGCCTATTATGCACATTTGGTAGCATTTCGAGCCAGACGCCACATGACCAACGGCGAAAATGGAAGGTAGGCCTTTTGTGGCAAGATTTTATGGGGAGCCGGGATGGTGCAGTGGTGGGAGCGCTCACTTCCCACCAGTGTGACCCGGGTTCAATTCCGGCCCGGTGCCATATGTGGGTTGAGTTTGTTGTTGGTTCTCGCCTTGCTCCGAGGGTTTTACTCCGGGTTCTCCGGTTTTCTTCCCTCCACAAAAACCAAATCTCTAAATTCCAATTCGATCAGGATAGAACACCCACATGAAAACCAGCTAAGCCTGATGTGGCTTCCTCTCTAAATATTGTAATATTGTATTTTTTATCAAATTCTCCACGTGTGCTTTCGAGTTTTTTCGTGGCCTAGTGTGTTTGTTTGTATTTTAATTCTTCTCGTGTTCAACGTTTTAGGAGGGGGGACACTGTAGATTTGGAGAAATCTGCAAGAGCCATTCAAGTTCATGACAGAATGAAAGAAGCGATGTATTTTACGTAAACAATTAACATGATAATACTGTATATATGTGCTCGAAATGAAAAAAAAGAAAAGAAAAAGATGAAAAATACATCGCTGACAAGTAGCAATACCGCGTAAATGTCTCCATGAATAACAACTGTTTATGAGAATATGTAATCCTGATATTCCATTAGTTTTAAATATTTTTTCCTGACTTTTAGGTTGCAAGTGATTTGAAAACGGTGATGCATTCTGCTACATGTAGTTAGCATTCCGGGGGGAACTCCCATATAAAAAGGACAGGGGTGGTCATCGTACCTTTTAGGGCTTAAGAGTGAGGTTTTGGTACCTCTTAGGGTGTTCGGCCTGAAGTGATCCACAGAGGGAGCTTTTACGGTGCCTTTTAAGCCCCCCCCCCCCCCCCCCCC